AGCCATCTGAGGGGAAAACTCTATGTTTCCCCCTCAGATGGCTGTGGCCCCGCCCCCAGCGTGCCCGGTGTCATCACGTCACCTCCGGCTGATGTGCATGCGGCGTGCGCACACGCTCAAGACGCCGTCTGGGAGCCCCCCACCGCGGAAGAAAAAGGACTTGGCAACCCTATTCTGTACAAAGCAGGCAACAGGAGAGGCATTCTACAAACTGACGCAAAGTCAGTTGGGCAGCTATGACGTCTCCTAACAAAATGCCAGCTGGGGAAGGTTCCGGCTTCCTGTCTACGCAAACTTTAGCAGTGAAGGTGGAGCGTGCATGAAGGAGGAAGAGTCCCGTTTACTTAAAATCAGTTTTAATAATTCTTGTATCTCCTATAAAATAGTCTTTAATCTTTGTACAGAAAGAAAAAAATCTATGTACAGTACGTTTTTAGCCGCCTTTGATAATATAAAAGGGGGTCCTGTGTTGATCGAGTTCTGTACCACGAACCAGACGGTCGCTACGTGTTATAAAAAGGGGCAGGCCGGGCCATCGAAAACCTGTGTGGCCGGGAGGCAAATCAGAAGTGTGGATAGGAAAACAAAAACATCAGGGCTGACAGAAAATTTGGTTTGGGACCAAGGCTATATGGAAACTCTAAGCATGGACAAAGAGTGACATTGGGAAGTGAGCTGGGAAAGGATCGCCACAACTCCCCAATGAAAATAATCGGGAACGAGAAGGCCACCACTCAGCGCAACTAGAACGGACTGTCCTTCCCTCTTGCTAAACTTTAGAAGGGACTCCCTGCCGGTTCCTGGTCACTTGTTTTGACTCAGGGAATGGCAAAGACACCCCCCCCCCAAAAAAAAAAAAAGCCCATTGGTATTTTAACTATAAGGTCACAGAGATCAGAAATAAAGTTGAGCCAGGCAGAACCGTCCTTGTACGGAGATGACCTGGGCTGGTCTACACTTTAAGGTAAAATGAGGTGGCAGAAACCTGGAACACTCAAATGGACTGCCATTTCCAACGAGGGAAGGGGTCGTTTTTCAAATGTCGCCCCATGTCAAAAAGTCTCTTCACACAGAAAGATGAACACAGCAGATAACGGGGCTGAGCCACAAACTCTCCCATGGGCTGGTTTCGTTTGTTTTGTTGGCTTGCAGGGGAATTTTTACATGGGGGAAACATTTAAAAAAGATCATTGGTGCCCTCGTCTGCAGTCCAAATGGATACACAGTTCACTGCCTCAGGGCCTCATTTGGGGTTGTATTTGTAGGCCAGGCCTGCGTAGCTTCACTAAGTCAACAGCTCTTAGGACATCGTGCAAAATAAGCCAGAGATTCAATACACCTCAGTGGAATGGATGAGGCCGGCTTGACCCAATAACCAAGGGGAAGGACGATGACCTCTTGGTTCCTTGTGGTGAAGGAGAGGGATTGGAAGACAAGATAGGTAGTCAAGCATCAGCAGTCTGGAAGGAAGGGCAGGTGAATTGGCATTGGCAGGGAGTGAAGTGATGTATCTAATGCTGAGGGGGGAGGAACGGAAAACATTGGCCACCAGAGGCTTCGAAAAATATAGATATACTTAGAGAGTGGCAAGAGCAAAATGTTCATTATGGCTACTGCGGTCTCTGCGTGGTTCTAAAAAGCATGGCTGGTAAATTAAAGGCACACCTCTCTGCTGCATTCTGAACCATGGTAAGAAAACAAATATGGCTGCCATTGCGCAGAACAAAATGGGGCCAGCGTTGTCCAGCCTTCGAGTGCAAGGCCCCAAAAGCCTTCAAGATAAACTGGAGTGGCGGGATGAGGAGGAAGAGATATATTCAGTTATTACCTGACATAGCACGGGGCCTAAAATCCAGTCATGGCAGACAGGAAGTGGGTTTGGGCGAGAAATGATGTGGACCAGTTCTGTGAGTAGATGAGCTTCCAACAGTTTCTAGCACTATTTCTGCACATCCTATTTGGATTTCTTGTTCTTCTTGTTGAGGATCTTCATGAGGGACTTGGACATGTAGTATGGCTTCTCCAGGGAGCCGTCGTTGCGTTCCAGGTCTTCCACTACAGGGGAGAAAACAGGTTGCTTACCTTTAACTGCTGTTCTTCAAGTGGTTCATCTGTACATCACACTAGTGGGTTTTGGGCCCGTGCAGAACAATGATCACAGAATTGGACCCCCTGGCCCAATCTTTTTGAAACGTGGAGGGTTTTTTGAGGAGAGGCACCAGCAGCTATGCTGAAAATTTGGTGCGCCTCCAGCTCACCAAACAGCACCCACCTGTATAGAAATATTATTTGGTATTGTGGTGCGTCCCCCTTAAGTTGCTGAAGCAAAATACCATCTGGGTCCCTTACGGAGGATATAAGAAAACTTGGCAATTGTTCAAGCAGCGCCTGCAGCTAATTGACACACCGTTACTGACCAAGCCGGCAGTGGAACAGAGACAACAGTTCAGGAGAAAAAAAGCAAGTTTTCTTCCATCGAGGCGGCTTTCTGATAAAGGACTTTTCGTTCTCCTTTTCTCCTGGTTATAGCCTTGCCAACCTCCTGTTGAGAACAACTTCTCAGCACCGTCCTGCTCAGGACTGTCTCCGTTCTAGCGGCTTGAGAACTACTCCTTCAGCCCACTCAGTACATTGCCTCAGTGTTTTAAATATTATTATTTCTCCTGGTGTTTTTATCTCTGGAGCTGTGCTTTTTTTTATCTTTGCTCCTCTTAAATAAAGATACGTTGACTTTTGGAGAAAGCAAGTGTGTGGGACGGTGCAATCAGTGAGAGCTTCCTTTCATCCCGGGAGGGGAACCCAGGGACTGGAGACCTACTCGAGAGGAGAGGATCTTGCTACTTGTCTGGAGGTCTGAATTAGCTCGCCCCTGAGGTGAAACGACAGGGGAGGATGACCCCAGACTCATACACCCCCCCAAGCCCCAAATGCCCATGATCCTCCATTATACCCTATGGAGACAGGACAACAAAGTTTTATTCCGGGTATAAGCTTCCGAAGTGTGCGTGCCCACAAAAGCTTATACCAGCAATGACACTTTGTTGGTCTTAAAGGTGCCACCGGACCAGAAACTGAGCCGCAAGCTGCAGCTTCTCCCTGCTGGCATGCCTGATTCCAAGCTGTGCTTCTGAGGGGGGAGAACCTTTTCACCCCTAAATTATAACTCTGGAAGTTTCCAAAAACCATTTTCCTGCATGGAAGCAAAGCTCACTGGTGCCACGCACGGGGACCGCAAAGAAGTAAACAGGAGAGACTTCGTGTCAGGCCCAACTGTATACTGACGTGAGGGCCAAGAGGTGCCAAAAAGCGCTGGCTGGTGCTTGCGCAGGAAACCTCTTGGGAACCTTGGGTTAGGCCACCTTGACTTCAGCGGTGGAAGAAAGGCGAGAGAGAAGCACACCACCTGCGTCTGTGAAGATGATGAAGATACTCACAGAAACAGAGGAACAGGGTGTCGACACACATGCTGTAGACGCTAAAGAATCCTTGGGCAATGAGGTAGGCACCGACCACCACAGTCTGAAACAGAGAGAGAGAGAGAGAGGAAAAACACAGAGTGAATGGGTGGGTGGGGGGAGTGAGGACTTCCATACTAAATGTATTGACAGTTGATTATACACCTCTCTCAACCTAACACCTCTCTCTCAACCAAGCCTACATGACAGGGTTGTTGTGAGGATAAAATAGTGAGAACCGTGTCTGTTTTCCCTGACCTGGTTGGCCCAGGCTGGCCCAGTCTCATCTGATCTCAGAAGCTCAGCAGGGCCAGCCCTGGTTAGGGTTTGGAGGGGAGAGCACCAAGGAACATCAGGGCTGCTCTGCAGAGGCAGGCGAGGGCAAACCAAATTGCGCCTCAAAAGCCCCGTGAATCGGCTGCGACTTCACGCAACTCTGATAAAATCAACAGAGCTCACATTTTGCCACAATAACTTGAAAAGAATTCATAGCACATGCCTGCCCTCAAGAAGAAGAGTTGGTTTTTATACCCTGCTTTACACTACACGATACACGAAGGAGTCTCAAAGCGCCTCACAATCGTCTTCCCTTCCTCTGTCACCAGGAATGCTTCTTCTGAGCTCCTCAGAGTAAGAACGGGGTTAAAAAAATGCAACAAATACAGTCATTTTTAAAGGCTACCCGTTTGTAGGGAATTGCTGATAATCTCTGCAATTTTGGGGGTCAAAATGTCTTCTTTTAAGCCATAAATGATGGTGGTGGTGATGGAGGAGGAGAAGATCGGATTTATACCACGCCCTTCACTACCCGAAGGAGTCTCAGAGCAGCTTACAATCTCCTTTCCCTTCCCCTCCCCATAACAGACACCCTGGGAGGTAGGTGGGGCTGAGAGAGCTCTTTCGAGGACTGCTCCTGAGATAACAGCTTTGAGAGAACTTGTGACTGACCCAAGGTCACACCAGCAGCTGCATGTGGAAGAGTGGGGAATCAAACCCGGTTCTCCCATATTCAGAGTCCACTACACCAACACAGCAAGCTGGTAAAATCACCCGTTCATTAATTAAAATGTTTTATATCCCACATTTCCTCATGGCTCAAGGTGGTTTACAAATCATAACTAAAAACAACACATTTAAAACCAACACAATAAAAACCCTAATCCAGTCTTCTACTGTTAAGCAATTGGCCCTGCCTATGGGGCAGCCAGCATTCACCCCCTGCACTCTGCAATCTCCTGTCAGCGAGCTGGTTCTAAAACGAAAATCAGGGCCATGTTTCAGTCAGTGAGAGACATCTTCTGGCCTCTCAGCTGCCCCACTGGATGAGGCACAATGACCCTTCCCGCCTTAGAACCACCAGGGGGGAAATGATGCTGCGAGGAGAGAAAAACAGTCCCGGAGACCCAAAGAACGGTGACGGTTACATACCAGAATGGGCAGCCAATAGTAGTTGAGCTGAGAAGACTGCAGCTGAAAGACTCCAAGCGGGATTCGTCCCGTGAACAAGAAGAACGAGAGGACTCCCACTCCACCGACCACCAATAGTGTCCCGAAAAACAGCAGCAGGTCAGTGATTTTATCCAGGACCACCACCCTGCATGGAGACAAAGAGCGGTACTGAACCCAGGGCAACCTCACCCCCACTCAGCCCCGTCTGCTCTCGGCTTTTGCTTTTGAGCAGCAGCTTCCCCCTCCCCCCCACCCATCAGCGGGCTTACCTGACCACGTTCCGCATCAGGAGCTTGAAGGCGTTTTTCGCCGACGTGCAGAAGTTCTTTCCGTAAATGGCGATCTACAGCAAGGAATGATTTCAAGAGAGACAAAACCAGGGCTATTTTGGGGCAGGAACGCACAGGAACGGAGTTCCGGCTGGCTCCCAAGTTGGCCACGCCCAGCAGGAACTCACTAGCATAATAGGCCACACCCAACAGCAGGAACTCATTAGGACTGGCTACATTAGGGATGTGTGGCCTAACATGCAAAAAGCCCTGGGTTTTGACAACAAACAAGGTAAACAGAATAAGAAGCAAAAGGTGGGTGTGGCTGGATGACCACATTTCTGGTAACATGGGGGTGCGGCCTAATGTGCTAATGAGCTGTGCTGTCAGGGGTGTGGCCTAATAT